CCCGTGCCTTTGGGAGGCTGAGGTGAGTGGATTGCCTGAGCCCGTGGGTTCGAGACCCGCCTGGGCAGGCGAGATCTCATCTCTACAGTAAAATCAAAAAATTAGCCGGGCGTGGTGGCACGTACCTGTAGTTCTGGCTACTCGGAAGGCTGAGGCGGAAGGATCGCCGGAGCCCAGCAGGTCAAGGCTGTGGTGGCCGGGAGCGGCCACTGCACTCCAGTGTGGGCGACAGAGTGAGACTCCAACTCAAAAAACAAAACAAAAAAACCAAAAAAAAAACTTGTGTAGTATTTGAGGAGAACTTAATCGAATCAGGTGTACAAAGATATGTTTATGTTTTTGCATATGCACAAAAGGAGAGAATCTTGGGTACCAGTTTGCATCTTCTTTACACTTGAGCAAAATGGGAGAATAATCTAGCCATTCCCATAGGCCACCTTTGGGTGTCGTGAGTGGAGCTTAGGCAGGCTGGTGATTCGGAGAGCCTTGGATGAGTGACAGAAGTCTGAGAGCACATCCTGTAGGATGGAGAACTGACGTTTCTTTCTATGTGTTGACCTTCTGGTGCTGTGTGCAAGGGGCTGCGTGTGTCTGGTCCCTATGTCTGTGCTCAGAGACAGGCATGAGCTGCTCTCTGTCTAAGCATGCCAGCACAGAAAAGGCCATTCTTCTCTACAGTACTCCTTGTATGCCACTAAGGTTCTTCTAATTAAAAAAAAGTATTAGCCAGGTGTGGGGGCTCACGCCTATAATCTCAGTACTTTGGGAGGCGGAGGCCAGAGGATTGCCTGAGCCCAGGGGTTTGAGACTTGCCTGGGTAATTTGACAAGACCTTGTCTCTACAATAGAATTAAAAAAAAACTTAGCCAGGTGTTGTGGCACACACCTGTGGTTCCAGCTTCTTGGAAGGCAGAGGTGGAAGCATCACCTGAGCCCAGCAGTTTGAGGCTGCGGTGGCCATGAGCATGCCACTGCACTCCAGCCTGGGCAATGGAGTGAGACTCCAACTAAAAAGAAAATAAATAAAAAATATATAATATAAAAATATATAAAGAATTTAAATATAAATATAAAAAAATAAATAAAAGCCCTGCTGGGTTCCAGTGATCCTTCCACCTTAGCCTTCCAAGTAGTAGTTGGACCTGCAGGCATGCACCACCATGCCTGGCTAATTTTTTTTTTTTGAATTGGAGTCTCACTCTGTCACCCGGGCTGTAGTACAGTGGCATGCTCACAGGCACTGCAGCCTCGACCTGCTGGGCTCAGACTGTCCTTCTGCCTCAGCCTTCCAAGTAGCTGGAACTACAGGTGTGCACCACCATGCCTGGCTAATTTTTTGATTTGTTGTAGAGACAGGATCTCACCATGTTGCCCAGGCTGGTCTTGAACCCCTGGATTCAGGAAATCCACTTGCCTTGCCTTCCCAAAGTGCTGGGATCACAGACTTCAGCCACTGCACCCAGCCTTAATTTTTGATTTATTGTAGAGACAGGGTCTCAACATGTTGCCCAGGCTGGTCTCAAACCCCGGACTCAGGCAGTCCTCTCACATCGGCCTCCCAAGGTGCCAGGATTATAGGCATGAGCCAACAGGCCTGGCCTGGACAAATTGATAATTTTATTTTATTTTGAGTTGGAGTCTCACTCTGTCACTCAGACTGGAGTGTTGTGGCAGCTCTCGGCCACTGCAGCCTCGACCTGCTGGGCTCTGGCGATCCTTCCGCCTCAGCCTTCCAAGTAGCTGGAATTACAGGTGCGTGCTACCACACCCGGCTAATTTTTGGTTTATTGTAGAGATGAGGTCTCGTCAAGTTGCCCAGGTGGGTCTTGAACCGGTGGGCTCAGGCAATCTACTCACCTCGGCCTCCCAAAGTGCTGGGATTACAGGCTGAGCTACCGAGCCCTGGCCAAAATTGATACATTTTATATCTGTGAGCCGCCTGGTCTGGACAAATTGATTTACATTTTATATCTGTTTACAACTTTTGTCCTCCAACCATCCTTGAGGCGTGGTAGGTTGGGCTGATATGCCTGATAGGGAAATTCAGATCCATCAACTCGTGACTTGCCCAAGGCCTGCTAGAGTGAAAGGACAGACTCCTCCTTCAACTCTTCAGCTAGGCTGCCTCAGATAAGACCTTAGGTATGTACTTGTGTCCACACTTGCTACCAGCCAAGTGACATGCTTTTCCACTTGTAGATTGTTGCTAATGCCAAAGGTGCTGTGACCACTACTGTGACCGGGGCCAGGAATTCTGTGGCCAACACGATCACAGGGGTGATGGGCATGACCAAAGGAGCGGTGACTGGCAGCGTGGAGAAGACAAAGTCTGTGGTCAATGGCAGCATCAACACCGTGCTGGGCAGTCGGATGATACAGCTTGTCAGCAGTGGAGTGGAAAATGCACTCAGCAAATCAGAGTTGTTGGTAGACCAGTACCTCCCACTCACCGAGGAAGAACTAGGTGATTGGAATCTTGTCTTGAAATAATGTCTTTCGTCCTAAATTAGTCTATTTTAAAAAGCTTCGCTGAGATTTTTTTTTTTTTTTTTGAGTCGGTGTCTCACTCTGTTGCCCAGACTGGAGTGCAGTGGCCGCTCCCGGCCACCGCAGCCTCGACCTGCTGGGCTCTGGTGATCCTTCCGCCTCAGCCTTCCGAGTAGCTGGAACTACAGGTGCGCGCTACCATGCCTGGCTGATTTTTTGATTTATTGTAGAGATGAGGTCTCGCCAAGTTGCCCAGGCGGGTCTTAAACCCGCGGGCTCGGGCAATCCACTCACCTCAGCCTCCCAAGACGTGGGATTACAGGCTGAGCCACCGAGCCCGGCTTTGCTGAGATTTTTAAATATAACTCAGGTATTATAAAGCTTCCCTGACTCACTTCTTAGCTATTATGCCCCCGACTTGGAATTTGTTGATTCTCCAAGGATTTGTGAGAAATTTTTTTTTTTTTTTTTTGGAGTTGGAGTTGGAGTCTCACTCTGTCACCCAG